GACAGGGAAGAATGGGGGGGCTGCTGTGAGGAGTGGGATGGGGTCAGTGTTGCTGGAAAAATGTGTACGGTGGGGGGTGCTGAGAACCACTGAATCAAACTGTAAACCCTGTATATGGTGGAAACCACTTCAATCCCAGGGGTCTGGCACCTATGTGGCTGGCAGGAGGGATTAGAGGAGGCTGCTATGGGGAACAGAGATAGATCGGCAGGGGGTCATTGTGGATTTCAGCCTAGCATTGAAGTTGGAAGGTTTAATCTCATTTTCTTACCTATGTCCTGGGGGAATCAGACACAGTATCTCAGAATTGATTCTCCCAACACACATACACCACCTGCAGCTCCCCCCTGCCCCACGGATGTGTCTGGGGGCAGGAAGCTGTCCTCTCGGGGGTGAACACGGGGGGTGGCTCAGCAGGGGTGGGAGATGCTCACAAAGCTGGGTCTGCAAAGCCTAAGAGGTGGCCAGCTCTGTGCAAGCCTCAAACAGCTCGGCTCAGCTCTGGGGACTCTCATGATGAAAGCTGTTGGATTCTGTCTGCAGAGACGGTCGTCCACATCTACAGCAGCCACAGCCCGAGAGCAGGAGCTGAGCTGCGGCCGCATCACTGCAAAAATTCAGCCTGTTCCCACCTGGAGAAACACCAGACACAGCTTGGGCCCCTGCAGTGCCGCTGGGTCAGGAGTGATTTGTGGGTGAACCCTGCCGCCCTTCACCCCCGGTCACCCCTCGAACGTCCTGGAGAGACATTGCCAGGTGGCAGGTGGATTGTGACTCTTCGTTTAATTGGCTGTGAGCCACACGACATTGTGTCTTCTCCACGATTGGCTGGTGGATTTGTTGGACTCTGGAGAACAGCCAGTGACATAGCAAATGGCGAAAGCTGCATTCATTTTGGTCAGGAATATCAGGATTCATTGAGACATTGGGTTTAAAACCAACTGTGACCAGGTTCCCGGAGTGCAAGCTGGACTGTGGGACCGCGGAGCCCTCCTGTCCCACCAACCTGGGATGTTCCTCTCACACTGTGATATTGTGTCAAGCTACAAACCTCTGGCAGGTCCTGCACTTACACAGCCATCCCCAGGCAGGGACACACCCAGCTAAGTTCCATGAATGACCTTCCAGCCACTCATGAACCATCAATAGGGAGGCTCCAGTCAATTCCTCCCGGCTCCCTGGCCTTGCAGCCCAGAAATGTACCATCCTGCTTCGGTCAGAATCCTGGCAAGTGTAAGTTCATTGCCCAGTCTGTGCCTCCCCTGATGCGGAGAGCACAAACACCAGCCTTTGTAAACTGAGCTGAGATTTCCCAAGCACTTCAATCAAAGCCCACAGTTATAGGTAGAATATAAAAAAGTTTTATTAACTGAAGACAGATGGGTTTTAAGTGATTAAAAGCAGCGAGCGTAGAGATCACCGTTGGTTACAAAAAAAAAAAATTCCCAATCCGAGTTAAATAAACTAGACAGGATTTGAATCAAAACTGTGTCTCAACCTGGCAGATGGTACAAGCAGGTGACAGTTCTTCATGACACAGGCTGGGCTTTTCTTTCAGGCCTATACTGAACTTCCGCAGTTCAGTGTCTTTGTCCTCCAGATGTGTTTCCAGGTGTTGAGTTGTGGTGGCAGTGAGGCCAAGTGGTGATATCATTTCCCCTCTTTTGTAGTTTCTTCCAGCTTGATGGAAATATATTTTGCTATGACGTGGGTCAAACAGTCTCCATTGTCTACATGCTCTCTGAGAAATCTCCATTTTATACAGTTCCTGACATAGTAGATTCTTGGATGGGTGCTGATCAGCCAGTAACGCTGTCTGGCTCCTCCACTGTTGTACCTGAAAGGCTGGTTGTGGGTGTTCCCAACATCACAACTTATTTCAGTAACACACACATAGCAAAACTTCATAACTCCCCATACAATGACAGCACATACAATTCAAGAGGATATTAATAATCAACAGATCAAGACTTCTTTAATGATACCTCACAAGGCAGACTTCGTTCATATTGATATGACATTGCTGAATATTGGGGTTCCAGGGTGTTGTTTTGAGGTACAGAGTGCCACAGCCACACATTTTATTTAAAGTCTCCAATATTTTAAACACCTCCTCACTTCATTGGCTTCCAAAATAGAGCTGGATATTTCTGGTTTTCTGAAATTTTCGGTGGAGTTTTGCTATGCTTGTCCTTTTCCTCCAAGCCCCAGTTCCTGGAATCAAATGATTAGGTGGGAATTTCAGCTTCCTTTTTCTTTGTTTTAAGTAAATTTCCACCCTTCATTATTGCAGAGAAAAGCTTGAAATGGTTTCGCCCCATCCTCTCCCCCCCAAAAAAATCAGAAGGCAAAAAAGAAGAACCCAAATGTCTGTAATTTCAAACCAATCTCATGTTGTTTTAGGGCGTGGCTCATGAGGTTTGAAGGCTCAGGCTTGGCAATGAAGAGACAGGACTGGATTTTTAAAAGTGGCTAAGGGAATTAGGTGCCAAATTCCCATTGATGCTTTTGAAAAATCTCACCAGTAAAAGCCTCAGTCAATTCAATTACATCACATAATGGCAGACAGCTAAAAAGTGACATTTAAGTTCTTATATACAAATGCTAGAAGTCTAAATAATAAGATGGGTGAACTTGAGTGCCTTGTATTAAATGAGGATATCGTTACAACAGGCATCACAGAAACTTGGAAGAATGAGGATAATCAACGGGAGACAGTAATACAAGGTTACAAAATATATCACAGAGCAGGTCATGCTGGTCGGGGAGCGGCACTATATGTGAAAGAAAGTGTAGAGTCAATTGAAGTAAAAATCTTAAATGAACCAAACCATAGAATCTCAATGGATAGTAATTCCATACCTAACTAATAAGAATATAGCAGTAGGGATATATTACCGACCACCTGACCAGCATGGTGATAGTGACTGTGAAATGCTCAGGGAGATTAGAGAGGCTATTAAAATAAAAAACTCAATAATAATGGGGGGGTTTCAATGGTCCCCAAATTGACTGAGTACATATTACCTCAGGATGGACTCAAAGATAAAGTTCCTTGACACATTTAAATGACTGCTTCTGTTAGAGGGCTTTCCCTCCACCCTCTCCCCTGGTTCTTGACACGCAGACAGCAAGCAGCAAAAGACCAGAAGTCCGAAGGGCAGACAATGTGATGTTTATTGGTGCTAATTTCCAAGCAAGCATATTCCAAAGCCCTTCACACCTGTTGGGCTTATCTCTATACGCCGATAGAGTCTGTTCCCCAGTGTCCTCCTTCCTAGCTCTGATGCCGCAGAGCCTTGCCTGTGTCCCCGTTCCCCATTCCCGTTCCCTGCCCGAGCAAACATCATTCCAATTTCCCTATTTTCCACTTCCTGTTTCACCCCAGTTTCTATAGTAATATTCTCAGCTATACCTTAACCATTTTTACTGAAATTTAACTAACCAATCCTAACATATTGTAACATAATTCTCTAACCAATTAACTTAATTAATTTACAGCTTGCAATTAATTATACAGCAGACAGAAACAATTGGAGAACCAGACAGATTAACAATAGAAAAGGGGGCCATAAAGATTAAACAACACAGAAATGAGGGTTTCACAACCACAACTATTGATAAGTGATTTCTTCCCAGACAGGATGCTATCAAACTAAGCTTTCTTTCACCATCTTTATCTGGTGGTGATGGGCACTATCAGGACAGGATTGTATTCGCAACAGCCCAATACCCCCTTATTTCAGTGTGACTGGTTTGGGATGTGAGGATGTGACCGTTCGCTTCCCAGTTTATGGCTGCCCCTCCTGCTTAGCCTAAGAACCAGGCCTCAGACTATCCTAGTGAGAGAAGGCCCAGACACAGGCGGACTGTGATTTTCATTCTTTGTATTATACCCCTGTAACTAGCTAAGTGATAAAAACACACCTAAGTTCTTAAAGTATAGACCTTTACAGACAGGCCTGGAATCTATATTCTAACAGTTTCTTAGAGCAGCTAGTCCTGGAACCCACAAGGGGCGAGGCAATTCTTGATTTAGTCCTAAGGAGAGCACAGGATCTGGTCCAAGGGGTGAATAATATAACTAAACCGCTTGGTAATAGTGACCATAATATAATTAAATTTAACATCTCTGTGGTGGGGGAAACAGCACAGCGGCCCAACACTGTTGCCTTTAATTTCAGAAAAGCGAACTACACAAAAATGAGGAAGTTAGTTAAACAGAAATTAAAAGGTACAGCGCCAAAAGTGAAATCCCTGCAAGCTGCATGGAAGCTTCTTAAGGACACCATAATAGAGACTCAGCTTAAATGTATACACAAAATTTAAAAAAACATAGTAAGAGAACCCAAAAAGTTCCACTATGGGTAAACAACTAAGTAGAGAAGTTTTGAGAAGTAAAATGGCATCCTTTAAAAAGTGGAAGATAAATCCTATTGAGGAAAATAGAAAGGAGCATAAACTCTGCAAATGGAGTGTAAAAATGTAATTAGGAAGGCCAAAGACTCAAAAAGTAATAGCAAAAATATTTTTAGGTACATCAGAAGGAGGAAGCCTGCTAAACAACCAGTGGGGCCACTGGACGATCGAGATGCTAAAGGAGCACTAAAGGACGAAAAGGCCGTTGTGGAGAAACAAAATGAATTCTTTGCATCGGTCTTCACGGCTGAGGCTGTGAGGGAGATTCCCAAACCTGAACCATTCTTTTTAGGTGACAAATCTGAGGAACTGTCCCAGATTGAGGTGTCATTAGAGGAGGTTTTGGAACAAATTGATAAAGTAAACAGTAATAAATTACCGCGACCAGATGGCATTCACCCAAGTGTTCTGAAGGAACTCAAATGTGAAATTGCAGGACTACTTGTGGCTCTTCTTTGAGTAAGGCCAAAAAATTAACTTTCTAAAAAAGATAATTTTGGAGTCAAGAGGAAGCTATGGGTCCCAGGAAAAAGAATTTTTCAACTATCTTAATGCAAATATTGACAATTTGATCCATTCCCCTATTCAGCCGGCTCCGGACCCAAGTTGTCAGTGGTTTGGGGGTTGCGTGCATGTTGCCGGTACCTTAGATACTCTTCCTCCATGGTGAGGTAGAAGATGGGGTTGAGCCAAGTGCTGAAATATGTCAGGACTGAAGTAAAAACAATTACCGTCCTCATCAGATGAGGTGGATGGTATGTATCTAAAATCAGCAGCAAGGAGACGTGATACGGCAGCCAGCAGAGGAAAAAGGCTGGGATCAAACCAAGGAGGATCTTGAGTGGCTTGGTGGACTGGATCAGCCTCTTCCTCCTCAACTTGGCAGCTAGAACAATGTAGAAGGTTGGGATTAAGATCAAGGCTAATGGGATCAGAAACCCAACCAGGAACTGGATCGCAACGGCGGCCTTCACCCTGCCTTCATCTGTATCAGTACTGTGCCGAGGTGGGGTGAGGGATCCCAAGAGACCAACGTACCGCAAACTGAACCCAAGAGACAGGGCCCATATGACCAAAACAATCATGAAAGCCAGGCGGGGCGTGCGGTGGTTCCGGGCCCACTCAGGGCGTGCCACGAGGATGCAGCGATCGACACTGAGGGCCATGAGGAGGAAGGCGCTGGAGAACATGTGGAAGGAGGTGATGGTGCTGCTCAGCTTCGTGGCCCAGTTTAAGCGCAGTAAGAAGATGTATCTGAGGGGCAGGAAGACGATGAAGATTAAATCGGCCACGGCCCGGTTCAGGAACCACACGGTGCTGGCCGTCCTCCCCATACGGCAGCCGGCGACAAAGAGGATGTAGAAGTTCAATGGCACCCCAGCAAGGAAGGCCATGCCACCAAGCACCAGAGAGATGACTATGAACTCCATTTTTGGAAGAGTTGCAGTCACAATATCCCCTTATTCTCCTCAGGGCTCAGCGGAGGCAGCGCAGACGTTGTACTGAGCAAAGGAAGGAAGATCAATGAAAAGGGCTCCAGGAGAGGACACAGACAGACAGAGACAGCCGCAGAGTTCATAATCCCCTCAGACTTTACAGACTCCCCAAATCCTGAGCTGAACTCAGATAGGGTCAAATCCTCGTAGGCCAATGGCCCAATGATTCGAAGACCTTAGAAGCATAGAGTCAGAGGGTTAGAAGGGGACCGCAAGGGTCATCTGGCTTAACCCCCTGCCAAGATACATGACTTGTCATGTCTATTCTCTGCCTGAATGTGTTTGTTTTCACATAATATCATTTTTCAACTAAAGGATATATTTAAAAAAAAACCCCACATTTGCTTCTTGCTGAAAAGTTGGATTTCTAGGAAAGGGGAGCGGTCCACGATGCAGGGACAGAGACTGGAGAGACCCACCCTGCTCCGCCGCCTCACCAAAATTCCCAAATAATCTTCTTGCTGTTAGTTTCCCAAAGGAGAATAGTTATTCCTATCTTTCTTAAAAACAAGTTAATGAATGATCACTTCCCCCCACACACACTTTTTTTAAAATAATGGAATTTCTGAAAGAGAGTCTTCCTCAGCCCCCTTCATTTTGAAGTTGAGTTTAATTGTGGTTTGGGCCATGTCCGGGGGTGACTTAGTGGAGCAGGCAAAATCCCCACCGAAAAATCCCCGCTGTGAAAACCTCCAGTGATGGAGAGAAACTCTCCAGGAGGAGAAAAGTAAGATTGAAACAAGGACGACAACAAAAAAGCTGGCCAAACACCAGAGGAAGAAGAGACCGGTAATCAGCTAAAAAACTTTTTTTAAAAAGGAAGGATACTGCAAGAGTCTACTGTAGTGGTTACACGGGGAGTTCCATCCCAGACTTGCGTCTGATGAAGTGGGCATTCACCCACGAAACCTTATGCTCCAATACTTCTGTTAGTCTTAAAGGTGCCACAGGACCCTCTGTTGCTTTTTACAGATTCAGACTAACACGGCTACCCCTCTGATACTTGATCCCAGACTTTCTCACTGAACTGCTCGGGGAGCCTGGGCAAGTCACATCACAGCCCCGTGCCTCAGTTTCCTCTCCAAACATTTGTCTGTTTAGAGTGTGAGCTCGCTGTGAGCAGGCCTCTTTCTCCCTCTGGGTCTGTGCAGCGCCTGGCACAATGGGGCCCCCGAGCTCGGTCAGTGTCTGTACACAACCAAGCTCAACGGGAGCCCCTGACCTCTGACACAGGACACACCAATAATTTCAACCGGTTCTAACCGGACCAGATGAGGGGAGGGGATGGGGGCAGCTGGAAGGGGGGAGACCAAGAGAGCATTGGTGTGGGCGGTGGGACAGAATGAGATCCAGTGGGGGCAGATGGGCGGGGGTTATCTCATTTCCTTACCCGTGTCTTTGGAGGACGCAGTGTCTCAGACTCGACCCCTGTCCAGGGTCCCCAACGCGATGTCTGCCTGCAGCTCTCCCAGACTGGCTCAGCCTGAAGGAGGAAGCTGTTTATATGGCGGTATATCTGGGGTGGGAAGAAGAATGAGTGGAGATCACAGGATGTGGCTGGGTCCGAATACTTCTGCAAAGCCCGGAAGGCCTCCGGCATCCACAGCTACATGCAGATGTTATGTGAACCACAAGCTCCTGTTAGAATATAGATATTCAAGCCTGCCTGTAAAGACCTATACTTTAAGAACTTAGGTGT